GGATTTGTATTTGGATTATTACATGATATGTGCATTGTTTCGCATCCTGTTAGTTAGGATGGTGATATGCTTATGCTAGTGTTCGGGTTCGGTCGATATCCTAGTTACAGGATTATGCTATGATATGACCTGGGTAGGTCGGTGTCCTGGTTTTAGGACGTTGCTATGTTATTTGATCTGTTAGATCGGTTTGTCTGTTATTATGATAGCCTATGAATGTATATGCACATGTTATTTGATTTGGGTATTGGGTTGAGGCGGTCCTGCTTTGTGCTGAAGGCCAACATACCCAAGGCGGTCCGGATAGACTACAAAACCCAAGAGGGTATGATAGTCAGACCGAAGGCCCGGTGAGCGGTCCGGATAGGCTGAAGGCCCCGCGAGGCGGTCCAGACATGCCGAAGGCTCAGAGAGCGGTCCAGATAGACTGAAGGCCTGCGAGGCGGTCCAGTCAGGCTGAAGGCTCATTATGCTTGTTGTTTGGTTATATGTTTATATGACTTGGTTATGTGGTTGGTATTTTGGGGGATAGCTCACTAAGCTCTCGGGCTTACAGTTTTAGTTTATTGTTTCAGGTACATCAGGGGATCGCGGCAAGGCGAAGGCGTGATCGTACAGCTCCTCATGTTTTGTATATGTTTCTGGAAAAACTCTGATATTATACATTTTGAAAACAAAGTTGTAATGATTTTTAATGGTTGGAAAGGCTTTTAAAAAGTTTAAATTGGTTGTAAAATTTTGGGTGTTACAATCCGAGCCCTTCCTTTCCGAAACGATGATACCTGAAACCATAAAAAAACCTGTAAGCACGATGCTTAGTGAGTTTCCCAGAGCATACCACACACGCAAACCACATATCACATATATAGAAGCTACTTGTATCACATATCCTGCTAGCTATAGAAGCTACCTATATCACATAAGCCATGCATACATAAACCTGTAAGGATGCCATGGGCTCCCCCCAGGGTCTTACACCTTCATGTCATGGGCTACCCCACATGGTCTTTACCTAGGAATGCCATGGGATACCCCACATGGTATTACATCCAATGTCATGGGCTACCCCACTTGGTCTTACATCCAATGTCATGGGCTACCCCACATGGTCTTTACCTGGGAATGTCATGGGCTACCCCACATGGTCTTACATCCAATGGCATGGGCTACCCCACATGGTCTTTACCTAGGTTTGTTATGGGCTACCCCACATGGTCTTACATCCAATGCCACGGGCTCCCCCCAGGGTCGTCCATGCAATAACACACAATCACGTAGCATATCAAATCACAGAAAGGACTAACACATAAAACATAATCACATAATGGGCCGGCCTTGGTGCCTTAGACCCATTGGTATGGTGAGAAGACTCACATCACACTGCTGAAGTCCCGCGGATGAACTTACAGCTGCTGGTTGACAGATTCCCGAACTGCCAACATCAAACTGTACCCAATTAATAATTGGGTTCCAATGCATAACCACAACTCCATACTTGGGGTAAAAGACTTCTTTACCCTAACTCAACTTTATTCAGTCCAAGCCCCAATCCAAAGGCCCAAAAGTCAAACCATGGACCAAAGCCCAACATATGGCCCAATTTTCCAAATTAGGCCCAACCTTTACATGGTCTCATTCAAAGGCCCAATCATTTAGTCCAGTCCAAACATTTGATAGTTTGGACTGAGGACCGGGATTCGGTCCAGTCAGACTGTTGGCTCATTATGCATGTTGTATTTGTATTTGATATGGTGATATTTGTATGGTGTCGGTATTTTGGAGGAACTCACTAAGCTTTCGGGCTTACAGTTTCAGTTTATTGTTTCAGGTACCTCTGGCGATCGCATGAAGACGAAGGCATGATCGTACCGCTCCTCCTGCTGTTATGATTTTATGATTTGATACTGGGATAATCTGATAATTATTTTGGAAACAAACTTTGTAATGTTAAATGATTTTAAATGGGTTGAAAAAGTTTAAATTTGGCATTATTTTTATGGGTGTTACAAAATACATCGGAAACGTAGACTAACTCGAATTTAAACCAATACGTACATAAAAAATCAAATTTCTTTTTAAATAAACTAACGAGCGGAAGTTCTAAATTAACGTCGAAATGTAAGGAAAACAACGGCTATAGACATTTTTTAGGGTTGAATTCCAAAAAATAAACATAAAAATTTGGAATTCCAGGTATAGACATGGATTCCGCGGATGTGAGCTCCGAGGGCTCCGCGGAATGGCAAAATCGTAATTAAATTAGGGGTAAAAAAAACCTCGATGAACAGTTCTGCGGAGATGCCTCCTCGGACCTCGTTAGCAACTCTGCGATTGAGGTGGGAACTTCTGGAAAGAAAGAAATAAAGTTCCGCCCACTTCCGTCTCCCAACGCTTTTTTTCGGCAGATTGCGGTGCCACTGCCGGCGTCCGGCAGCTCCAGACCTCCGGCAACTTCGCTCTCAACCTTCAAGAATGAAACAAGTAAGCATTGGTTATTTCAATTATTTGTAATTTTTTTGAAAACTTGAAATTAGCAATGTTTATTTTATTAGGGTTAGTTCTTACTACTTAGTTATTACTTGTTGTTGATTAGTACTTAGTTAAACAAGTAAGCATTAAGCAAGTTTAGGGTTATTTCAATTATTTGTCATTTTGTTGAAAACTTCAAAGTTGAAATTAGCAGTTAGGTTTATTTGATTAAAGGGGTTACTACATAGTTATTACAGATTTCTATTTGATTTTGGGCAGGTTTATCTAATCTAATTTTGTCTAAAAACAGATGGATGATAAGGTGTCTCAGTTGCAGTTTGTCAAAGTTTTTAAGTTTATATTTTTCCATGTTAGACAACCACTGAACCACAACACAAGTCATTTAAATGCACAAATTCAGGTTCAGGTTTGTCAAAGTCTAAGTGGTTAGTTAAAATTGCCCCATTGTTTGTGAAACACTTTGGATTTAGTAATTTGAAATTGGTCCAGAAGGTTGACTATCTTGACTTCATTTACTTTCACCCTCCTCTTAATCTCCTCTCATTAGCAATGAAAATGGTGAAATCTTACTCTTACACAAATAAAAGCACATTAGTATTTATGAAACTAGGTTGCTGTTGCTTTATTTGGTTATTAATATTTCTGCAGTGGTGGAATGACATGGCATCCATTGCTTTATGTTCAGTCACATCACATTGTGATTAAAAACTTGAAATTAAGAGTTAGGTTACTCTTATCTGATTAGGGTAAGTTTCATCTTATCTAATTTTGTCTAAAAACGCATGATAAGGTGTGTATTCTAATATTGTTTATCAAAGTTTTTAACTTTATTTTTGTCCATGTCAGATAACCACTGAACCACGAGTCATTTAAATGCATAAATTCAAAGTCTAAGTTAGTTCAAATTGTCCATTGTTTGTTAACAAAGGCATAGAATATCACTTAAAACCCACAAAATGAAGAAAGAAATCATAACATCAATTTGTATAATCATTTGGTTTTTGTCAAAATAAACAAAGAAATCATAACATCAAATTAGTAACAAAATATGTTCAATATGAACATCACAAGAATCCCGGAATAGTCAACACACAAAACCACCCCTCCCGCTCCCCCAAAACCATGGGCAACAAAGGAAGTTGCTAAAATTATTTCCTAAAGCACACGTCATACAGCCCATCTTCATACTAGTTCCATTGCATATGGTACAAGTCACTGTAGCAAAATTGATCTCCTATACATGAATCTTGGCTGACTCATTTTTTGCTGCATACCCAAACTTGGACGTGTTGTACTTCCTATAAACACCAGTCAATCTCCCAACTCCTGCCTTTTGATGATACCCCACAATCATTTTTGAACATTCCCTAAACACAAGTCAAACCAAATCCAATATTAGAAAGTCAAACTCATTACATAAATCTTTACAAGGTTAATAATCAATCAATCGCTTACAGAAGTTGATCTTCAGTGTAGTTGGCATGCCATTGGCAAGTCTTGGACCACTGATTCACCCCATAAAGACTGCATTGAGCTGTGTAGATCGAAGCTGCAGCCATGAACGATGGTGGGAATTTAAGCATCTCGTATTCCACAAGACAAAGCTCAATCAAGAAAAACGACAATTGCTCAAGTTTTGAATCCGATTGAGCTGCCTTCAAGAATCTTTTCATGAACACATACGCTGTTGGCAACGACATGTTGAATTCTAACGTGTTCAACATTAACTTTTCCTGTCGCCAAAATGGGAAATGATTAGTTTTAAGCCATAAGTAAGATCAAGATTCAACGTTGATGAAGAAAAAAGTTGACTTTTTAGTACCATTTCAAGAATTTGACTTCTTGAGTAAGCTTTATCCGATATGAAAACCAAATCGTCAATAACAGGGACTGAAACTTCTTCGTATTTACAAGCCAAAAGCATGGCGACCAAACCAACTAATTGCAAATTCTTTCTAATCACAGATTGTTTAGCTAAAAATCGGTCAATGAGGTTGACTGTCAAGAACAATGTCTCATGTTGAAGGTCAAACTTGTGGTGTACCTGTTGATTTTTGTTGAATTCAGTAAGAGAAATAGAAAATCGTTGATATTGGGGAGTTAATCGACTAATCAAGTTCAAATTTCAAAATTTTGAAAATTTAAAAGTTACCTCAACGAGCCAATCAATTAGTATAGCTCTCATCTTCTCGTTTATGTCAAATTGTTGTGTCATATAGTCTGGTGACACCAAGCTACAACTCTGCAAACAACATGATTTAGTTTCAAAGATCAAATCAAAGAAAGTGATGGTTTCCATTTTTGGTATCAAGAAAGTCGAGTAATGAGTGAATGAGCATGGTTTTTATACCTCCATCCTTCTATAATGAGCATAAAGATCTTCAACATATTCAACAACAGCAAGTTCATTTTCATTATCACAACTGTCAATATCGACTACTGATTCCTCGAAAATATCCTCCATTTCAACCTCCTCCTACCAAATTTCGCAAAAAGTCAACTAATGAACTTAAAAGAATTTTCAGTCAAACACACAGATTGAATTGAAACAAATACCATATGATGATCTCTTTGATCCGACGTTGTTTCTGATGTTTCCAAGAACATTGGCACAGGTTGATCTTCCCATACACCAAAGTCGTCATTTGGGGGATTTGACTTAATCTCCTGGTAAATTGTTTGAATTAAGAGTCAAAATCTTTAACTAAGTAGTGAAACGTCAACATGGTTTGTAGAATTTAGAATGAGATGAATTGTACCTCAGGGAAACACTGTTTCTTGTTGGCAATATTTGCAGCAAGTTTCCTTATTTTAGAAAAAAAAAAAAAAAATCAGATCAAATTGTTAGTCCATAATAATGTAAAAAGATCATAAACATTATTCGGAATTAAAATCCAGTTTTGACTTAAAGAGTCAATTTGAATGATTTATCAAACCAAGTTTCTTAGATAATCTTTTTAGTAAATATAATCTAGCTTTTAATAAAATTCTCATTACTGGAAAACGTTTTTAGGCCAGAAACTAAAAAGATCAAAGTAAACTTTTAATTTGAAGTTAATAGGATTGAATGCGAAACTCAACTTGAATGTCTTACACTATCAATGAATAAATAAATATAATATATAATAAACATACTGCGATGAAGCTCTCTTGTTAGCAACACAAGGATGAGGTTGAGCTCCTCCTCGACATCCGCCGGCGCCGGCGCCGGCACCACCCAAATTCTGATTAATCACACCCAATACTCTCCGGTTATGTACAACTTCCGTACCGAACTTTCCGCCACCCATAACATCTTTTTTACCTACCCCCAAGAAACATAATGGAAATAAAAATCAAACAAGAACCCAGATATTATAAACAAGCTCGGATTTAAATACTCAGATTCGTATTCAAATCTGCAGATTTAAAGATTCAAACATGGAAGTAAGGAAGGTGCCGCAAAATATGGATCTAACTTAAGTTAATGGCGCTAAAAGATACCTTGCTTATTTGTGGGTTTCATCAAAGCTGGATTGTTCTCAACAGAATTAATCTCCATTGATGAAGAATCAAAAACCCAACTTTGAAAATCTCTTTGATGAAATATCTTGAATATCAAGAAACCCACAAATCAAAGAATCTCGGAACGCAAGCAAACCAATCGCATTTAGTTCAGAAAACGGCAATGAAATCTACAGAAGATGATAAGAAGATGAAATCAGAAGAAGTGAATAGAAGTGTGTATGAAGGTGGCCATTATATTTGAAATCAACGGCTAGAAAATCTGTCCGTTGGATTTAAGATAATCAATCTCATTACAATATTCGGCTTGCGTAATAGGAAGTGTATGAATTTACTTTTTCCAGAGTGAAACTTGCTAAGTTCAAATTTATTATGCTTTGTAGTCATGTGTATATTTCATCAAAATCTGTATTCTGATCTGAAATAGTTATTTTTTAATCTGGAAAAAAGGTTGGCGCTTTTTAAGGGTCTTTGTACAGCAACGGTCACCTTTGAGGTTTTTGACACGTGTCATGTACGCGTTTCTACGAATATTGCTCATAAAGAATGCGTAATAAATGATTGAGATCATAAAAATAGTAATATGTATTATTTCCTATTTCCCTTATTTCCAAATAATATAAATAATTTTTGAGAAATTAAATTGTCTTTCTATCTTTTATGCCTATAAATATTCTTACTTACTAAAATTATGACATGTGTCATCTTTCCACCATTGAATTTGATTTTATTTGATATATTCTTAATATAAGAGATAATTAAAAAAAATATGAAATTATCTGTCATAATTTTAATGGATATGAATGTTTGTAGCCATAAAAGATAGGAGGCAATTTAATTTTTTATAATTTTTTGTATAAAAAGTATTATTTTATGCATTATGTAATATCCTATTTAAAAAATAATTTTGTTTAAATTTTATTAAACATCTATTATTTTCTCATACAAAATATATATGTGCAAGACTGAGAAATAAATATCGGTGTCTCGTTTCTTTCTCGAAGTTAAGGGTTTTATTTGGACTTTAAATTAAAATGATATGTTGGTAAATTAACAATAATCTTTAAAACTTATGTTAAAAATTAAGTAAGGTAATATTTCTACTATTTGGTATTAGTTATCTTTAACAAAATTGTAATAATCACTTCTTGTTATAAAATTAAAAATTAATTATTTTATATTTTATATAGTAACTTACAAAGCATTGATTTTATCTAAAAAGTTAAAAATTTATGATAAAACTGAAACATAAAAATAGGTTTCTTTATATTCAAAACTAAATTATGAAATCTGATAAAGAAGCAAATCATTATATATTGACAAAAGATGGTAACTATATTAAAGGAGAAAATATATTTTAATAAAATTACTTTGAGTACACGTTAATTAAGTAAGTAATAATAAACTCTAAATATTCATATAATATTGTTGACAAGATATGTAATTTTTTTTGTCAATTAGTAGTTAGTATTTATAGTTTTTTTTTTTTAAAGTGATTATAATTTAGTTTAATTTGTTTCTATTTAACACCGATTTTATTTTTGAAAACATAAATCTAACTAGTAGAGTAATATAATAATTGATAGAGTTTGCACTTTTTGGATGAGGAGAGAATTAGAAAGGGCCAAAGAGGCGCTCTTGCCCACTTTCAAGGGTAAATTTGTCTTCTACAATCCGGCTCCTCCTCCTTGGAGTTTGGGCGCATGTTAGCTCTCTTTCAACGATATATAAACAAAGTATTAAAATTTATAATTTTCATTTTACACATAATTTGTAAAAATAGTTAATGTAATGGCTATATTTCTATGAATAAAATACTTAATACAACTTTTTATGAAAAATAAATTGTGAAATGATAAGTTCCAATATACTTCTAATTATTGTTGATAACAAAAAAAAATTGGAAATTCAAATTTTCAAGAAAATGTTAGATTTTAAGAATAATTAAAAATGGAAACAATTTGTATGATTAACACTTACATCATGATCAACGACTATCCACATTAAATCTTTAATCTCTGAGGGATTATGCAATCGATCTTGGCGTTTTATTTGGAGCAACAAAGTATTTTACATAAAAGGAAATGTTCAAGAATCTTCAACGACCACTTGTTTGGATCAACACTATTAAAAAAAATTTATTAAGATAATCTATTTTGAAAAATCAATCAAAAATTTAATATTTCATTATTAATTTTTTTTTCTTATCCAAACTATCAAATTTACATTCAATCTTTTTCATCTTAAAATATTATATACTTAAAAGATCTACCTAATTGTGTCGTGTTCGGCTGACAGGTTGGTAGATCAGAAAACTTAATCTAGACTTAACTCATATAAATATTTGTGACGTCTTACTCAATTCTAACCTGAAAATAAATTACATATTAGTCTTTATTCTCTGTTTTATTTGATAAACACAGTTTTTATTTTCTTTTAATCTAATAAAATAAATAGGTTATGAATCATAATTATTTACAAACCTGAACACAAACTGCAAACTGCATACAGGTTGTAGATTGACATATAAAAAAAAACTCAACCCAAAAGTTGCATCCCTACCTAGTAGTTATAACATCAAAATGGTATTGTGAAAATGAAGCAGTGATAATAAATAAAAGAATTAACTAATATTGGTTTTTATTGTAATATGTAACGATTCTTTAAATAAATAGAAAGCATATAATATGGTTTTTTATATGAAATAATTTGACTGACAAATGAGGGTATGTGGTCAGTTCCTATCTCTTGCCTTAATTTATTAGGTTGTCAGAAAACCACCTAATTTCCAGTGGGGTTGCTTTTATGTCATTTTACAACTCACACACTCTGCTTAACCAAGTTGTACTGTACAACCAAGGATCATATGATAAAACTTGTGGACATTGACATCGTTAGAAGTTGTTAGTTTGTTATAGGGTTCAATGTTGGTCGTTTAAAGTTAGAAACGAGTATGTAATTTAATTTCTTCAAGATGACTACTTGTTTAAGAATTTCATCTTCTCAACATTTGTGATTAAAATTATGATATTTGATCGTTACTTGAATACTTTATTAATTTATTTGGCTATCTTCAAGACATAAAATAATAAAAAGTTCCCTTGTTGACCAAGTCAACAACCTTTAATCAGTTTATATCAATAAAATAAGAGACCTGATACATAACTTCAGCAGAATCTTGAAACATCCACAGTAAATTTGTCGATTAGCAATTAGCCAATAACCAAAGAGAAAACATTAATTTAACATGACTAGTACTAAAAATTGGAATTTTACAAGATTTCTCAAGAAAAATGACTTGTAACGAAAGCCTAGAATTATTTTCATTACTTGTAACTTCTGTTATTTTATCATCATCTAAGACATGATATCGGACTGACGAATTGAAGTAAAACAATTTATATAACTATATAAATAGTCAAAATCAAACACTAATTTTTTATGAATTAAAAACAGTACACCTACCTCATCATCAAAATTCTACATCATACTACACTCAGTCACTATTATTGGTTGATTTAGTGAACATGTCATTAATAGCCTAAAAATGAAATATGACAAATGAGTTGTATGATAGTTGTTGATTGAGTCAACTCAACCTCTTATCAGACCCAGAAAGAGACATATCAGAGAAAACATGACTGATCAGAGGCTTCTAATTGTGGTACAAACAATCTGAATCTGACTGAGTCGGACTGGGCCTCTTACCAGGCCCAGTAAGAGGCATCTCAAACAGCCCCAAAATGTTACAGAGATCTGAGTTTAGTTGCAAACAAGATATGGAAGAAGCAAAGGTGAAGGTGTTCCAGATTAAGATTCACTTGAAAAGGGACGACAGAATGGACAATGATCCTTTCCTTTTGTGGCTTCTTCTGTTAAGGATTTGTTCTTGAGTTATTGACTTTGACTCATCATCTACTTTTAGGGTTTCTGTTTGAGCTTCTAATTCTAATTCAGATGGGAACCTTTCATTTCCTACTGATATGCTTGCAAGTTTCTGGATTCTGGATTCAAATGTGTTCATCTCTTCTGCAAAAACTTGTTCATCTTTAATCTTTTTCACCTCTGTAACTAGTATATTTTGCTTCTTTCTAGTGCTCCATTTCTGCTTCATATGTGCATCATTAAGTAACCATAATCTTGAATCAGATTCTTCTATAAGCTGTTTGTTTTCATCTTCTTCATCATCAACCCTACACCCCATAGTATTCAATATGATCTTTCCTAGGGCAAATCTAGTTTCTGAAACATCACCCTTTCCAAGTAACCCATACTCCATCTCAAAACAACTTCTTCCCTTATTGTAATTCTCCACATTATGTGCAACAACATTAAAAAGTTGTGCAGCACCATGTCCTGAGTTCTTGGATATGAATATCTGCAAAAAAGATTAGCAACAAACATCTACCCAATTAAATCAATGTCATTCAAAATTTCAAATACAAACCAATAAGATTGACTTACTAAATGAGGGAGTTTTGACTTTGTTTTCTGCATCCTATCCGTATCTTTCACCAAACCATTAATCGAATCCAACACATTCAATGCTAATTGGCTTACTTTTTCAGAAAGTTCATCATCAGATATCAAGTCAGATGATTCTGAAATTTCGGGTTTAAAACTAACTGGTGATGGACTACATTGCCTTACAAACTCAACACCACCTTTCCATTCTTGATGATATAAAACAGAAGCCAAAGTCAAGACTACTAAAGAATCTTGTGGTTTTTTTACAAGTGCTTGATGAAACGCCAAAACTCCAATCCTATGTCAAAAACTCAAATCAGTAACATTTACAAACCTTCAAATGTACAATGATTGTAACTAATTGATATAATTAAGTAGTAGTAGCTTCAATTCAACTAACTCACCATAACCGAAATGTACATGGATGATCACAGCTAAAAAGCTTATCCATATGCAAAAACATCTTCTGAAAAAACAAATTACATTTGTCAAATTATTAGCCAAAGTAGAAAGAAAGTCATAACTCATAATAAGTTAATAACAATAGACATGTAGATGGAAATGTCAATTTTAAATACCATTAACATCATCATGCTACATTGCTCAGATCCAGAAGTCTGTCTAGAAATATATGCAGCCTACAAATACAATCCAACATTTTGAAAAACTTTAACTACATTCTTTCATGAATCATAACAAGAATGCAAATATTACAATGTTGTTGAATTATTACCTGAAATGGGAACAAAATCTCAAGAATGTGATATTTGTGAAGCAAACGGATTGAAGATTCTGCAGCTCCATATGACAGCATATAATCAATCTCCATCATGATCCTGCTCTGAATAAACAAGCTTATATCACAACATAAAATAATTGTAATAACATATTTAAAAATAATAATAAAAAAAAAACCTGGCTTAAATCCAATAAGGATGAAGCATGTTTATGAATTGCTGACTCAATATCCTTTGAAAATGATAACCCAAGACGAGCTGCAATTCTCAATCCACGAAGTATTCTTGCTGAATACAATTATACAAATCCATGGTAAGTTCATCAAGATTAAAACAGAAACTCAAATTTGCCACTATAAAATTTCTTGATAAATGGAAATATATGATTACAAGAGTGATGAAATGAACTTACCACAGTCCTCTGTGAATGACAAATTAGCAGGTACTAATGTTCTTAGCTGAAATCACATCACAAATAAGTGAATAACAACAAACTTGAATTGGTCAAAGTCAATGAAAACAATGTGAGCAAATACAGATGATTGTGTTGTGTTGTGTCTTACTTTTAGCTCCAATAAATCTTTCATTCCATTGGAGTAATCATAGATCTTGTGCATAAGAGGGTCAAAGAACAAGCTGCTTCAACAAAATCAAAGAAAAATTAAACATAAATGAACCAAAATCATACACAAGAGCTGCAAAAGAATACCTGTTAACAGTGAAGTCACGATGCATGGAGTTTTTCCAGAGTTTAAGGTCTGATTTGTCACAGTTTCTAGGCATGTGAGATACAAGAAATTTTTCTTTATCTTCAGAATGTTTTGCCAAAGTCTTGAAACTGGATACCTGGTATAAAACATACAAAATACATAATTTGATAACATTATACAGAAAGCTAATTTGAATATAAAAAAGTACCTCAATAATTGATCCCTTTATATGCACCATACAAATAGGAAATCTGCGCCCCACAATATGACATCGATGAAACTGCTTCTTAATCTGCAAAAATAGCAATGTACTTAACTGTTAAATCAACATACAACATACATACATACATGATACAACTACAATGGATCATGACTACATAGACATGTAAATGGCATATGAATGGAGTAGTTTCAATGAAGGAAACCTGATTAAGATCAGCTGTAGTGATAACATCAAAATCTTTTGGTGTTCTATTTAGAAGTAAATCTCTCACACAACCACCAACCAAGTAGGCTTCAAATCCTGTAACCAAAAGTAACTTTTTTTAGCTTGAAGCATATGAAGTAAATAGAATCATTGGTCTGATAATTATCATAGAACATAGAAAGAATGATAGAACATTAGATCTGGTTATGTCCAAAACCATAATAACTAATAAGTATTGCTTTTTTTGGGGGGAAATGCATTCTCATAAGTCATAACCCCCTACTGAATTACAAAAATATCCTACACCCATATTACCTGCAAATGAAAGGTGGAAAAATGCTCCATATAAAGTAAATGTAACATGAACAGAAGTAACCTTGGGTTTGGAGAATCTTTAGAAGAGTATAGGGAGCTGAGGGGACCATTGTTCGGCTTATCCCTAAGGATCTGGAATCCATCTTTTTCCATTTAGAAATACTGATTTCGCCTGACAAGTATCATCAAGTACTTCAACTCAATTTCACGAATTGCAAATGGGCATGAACCCAGGAAGACAATTACAAGCTTGGATAAACCGTTTTAATTTTAGGTTAGAAACATGATATGCTCCCTCAGTTCCCAGAAGGAGCTACACTTTGATTTGGATGTCCTTCCCTATAAACATTTTGTTAACTTCATAAAGAGTCATACGAACAGGCGAACAGCACAATGCTGATGTTAACAATTAACATTGCAGAAAAATCAACATAAACGTTGCTAGGAACATATAGGTTGGACATGCAAAAAATCAAAGTGTAGCTCTATTATACAAAACTTAAGCATCTGATTGACTGATCATACCAAATACAATACAAACAAATTGCTTCAAAAAATTTAAGTGATGAGGTATCAATTTGACAATTTCTTTGTCGCATATACAGAGACCTAACATACCTGGTTCAAAATCCGAGCCCTTGTCGCTACGGGGTCGAGGTTTATTTCTGACTTCAGCGAATTTATGGTAAAGACACTGCAGTTAAAAAGTTACAAATACGTTGCTCACCGCATGTTCGATGAAATGCTTAAAAAAATACAAAAGGTTAATGTTACAGATAGGGAGAGAAACCTGTGATGGAAGAAGGATTTTGAAGCGAGAAAGAAGGGTATGGCGTTTAACGGATATCCCCGCCATGGAAACGTCAAGGAGGGGGCAGTTGCCACGGCGGCGTTATTGGTCGGGAGGTCATTGAAGGGCGAAAGGGAGGTCTATACGTTGCTACCGAGTCAAATCCTAGTATTTATACTTTCGTACTTTTCCCATTTGAAGATCGTATGACACAATCGGGAAAAAATAGTTCAACCAAAAGGCATCAATGCTCGAATATAAAGCTAAGCAGTTCGATTAAAAATGGGATATATACACTAAAGTCCCAATATTTTCATCGATTTGACAAGAAAGTCCTAAACTTTATTTTTTTGACAGTAAAGTCCAAATTACCGGCAATTTTTTACACTTTTACCATTTTTTCCCGGTTAGCCGATAATTAATGACTTTTTTGTCAAAAAAAATAAAGTTTATGACTTTCTTGTCAAATCATCAATTAGGACTTTACTGTCGAAAAAATAAACTTTAGGACTTTTTTGTCAAATCGATGAAAATATTGGGACTTTAGTGTATATATCATTTTTTTTGTTAGAAATTTGATAGTATGATACTCTTTAAGCATAAGAGTTATTGAAACATTCTCTAGTCAGCTAGATCCTATTGAAATCTTTAATGTTTGCTTCTTGTTAAATCGTTTTTTTAATCTCAACAAACCGACATTGAAAAAATGGAGATAATCAAGAAAGAAAGAAATAACCAGGGTTGTGTTGGCTTTTTGCAGTCCAAAATATGGAGAAATAAGAAACCGAAAAAAACTAAATTGTCCTTATTTCCCTTCTCAACATGCCTAGCCAAAAAGGTGTGAATGTTGAGAAGGGAAAGAAGGGCAATTTCGTTTTTTTTTTTCCGGTAATTTGGACTTTACTGTCAAAAAAATAAAGTTTAGGACTTTCTTGTCAAATCGATGAAAATATTGGGACTTTAGTGTATATATCCCATTAAAAATCAATTAAAGATTGTACCTATTGAATATGCAAGTGACATTTTTTTTTCATATTGACACTTTCAAGTCATTTATTTATAAATGGGTCTCTTTAAGTTTATATAAGTTCTGATATGTCAACTAGATAAAATGTAAATCCAAAAACATTCTAAATATATAGAAGGTTACGAAGGTTTATATTGATTATTTTTGAATTTGTTAAAATTTAAACCAAAAAAAATATTAACGAGCAAAACAGATGAAAACTAACCAAACTAATCGGGGTTGGTTCTAGAAACTCAAAATTGATGTAAGGTGCGTTTTTTAGATGTCACGTAAGCTCGAACTTGAGCTTACCTCTTTCAGTCGACATTTTAAGACAAATATTAGAAAGATAAAAAAAATTAATAATTTTTATACTCTTCCAATCACATAGACATTTTTTATTTATTAAATACAAATATATATATATATATATATATATATATATATATATATATATATATATATGGATCTTAATATTCTCTAAAAATACTAAAAAATTCAATGTTCCGAAGAAATTTTGATTATGTTTGTGTTTTGATTTGTTATCCGGATACGATTCTAAGTTTTGACCTTAGCGGTTTCATTAATAAGTATATTGTCATGCTTAAAACCCAACATGCATCGGTGAGTGTCTTATTTAATAAAATTGTTCAAAACATGAAAGTGCATTTCAAAATAACTGAACAGAAAATAGTTTTTAAGTGTCTAAAAACACCAAATGCTCATATTTCTCTTTTGGCAATTCATAAAGATGGTCTTAGCCAATATATTTCATTATTGTCTTGATTATCGCCTCATGATTCCATTATTTCTGGTCGATGAGATATGTCCAGTTTGTCGAAAATATAATTGGACTCCTTTGGGGAGCATATAGTATGTTGTAGAGAGCTCTCAAATTTCAAATATTGATACGATATGGTTAAAGAGGTTTTTTTTAAGCATTTAGTCGCATCGAGGTTTCCGCTAAGAAATAAACATAAGTAAACTTATTGATTAACCCATCGAAAAGAATATCAACACTTGACATTTTTGTTTTAGATGCGTAAAAGGGAAACACGCATGGATGGATCTAACAAATGTTTCTCCTCTAGTAGGCTTAAATAGTGTTGTTTCATTATGAGTCGAATTGTTTTAAAAGTTGCATCATACACAATGACAAAACACGAAAAAATATGTATGAAAAACAACTCATGTTTATACCATTTGTGTTTGATATATTTGGTTTTTTTTTTTTTCACCAGAGCTATGGAGCTCCTCAATAGATTCCAATAAGTCATGTATACTAAAGTTATGAGCACAAAATATATAGATGTAGATTGTAGTGTTTATAAGAATTAGTTTGGCTATCCGTAAAACTAATTATTAACGCCACATCTTCTTGTCCGTTTTCTCCAAAATATAAGAACTATTATTAGTTATAGGACTCTAGTACGAACTCTTACGTTTATGTGTAAAATAAACTTCCACAAATACGAAAAATACATTTTTTTTAAATCGCCTACTTCTTATAAAACGACATTTTCTAAGTTTATGTATTGGATATTTTTATAAAACGTCATCTTCTAAGTTTCTATCTTCTTTGGGCTTTTAATGGGACATTGAAAAACGTTATGGTTCTCCTACTAGTTATATTTTATTTTTACCATTCTCATCAAACGGATCCTCAAGTGATATATAAGATGTATACATTTTCACTTCATCTAATTATATATTAGATTAATAGTGATGTACCTTATCAATAGTAAAGTTTTCACGTATCTGGATTTGGTCACAAAAGATCATGTATTTCGTATTTTTTTACCTCTTATTTTCTTTTGTTAACATTTGGCACATTACTTTTTTTTTTTTTTTTTTTGGTCCTTTCCTCGGTTCCTGGGGTTTTGTGGACACCTACTGGCTTTGGTTCATGTATCATTGTGGACATGTGCTTGCTTTGGGTTTTATTTCTGGTCCACTGATCTTTGCTTTTTTCCTTCACTATGTTTATTAAAAAAGGACTCAGCACCCTGAACAATTTTAATAACACCATCCCCATAGAAGAAGAGGACGACAAGTACAAAACTACAAAAGGCATTCTTGAATATGCAAAATTGAAGACGTGTCCGTGCATCAATCCATAAGAGAATTGGAAAGTATAAACAACTAATAAAGAATGTCCTAGATGAGTAACTCTTTGATGTATCACCCTCTTTTGAATACCTACCTTTTTATCCCCTTTATGTATCTCAGTATCTACGTGCTTTCCTGAACTATATATGCATCTACCATGCAATAAATAAAATTAGGTATATCGAAAAATATTTACAACTTTCGCTAACAGTGCAAGACCAATATCAAATTTTAAAACAGTTGTCCGTTTTTCAAATCTAAACTAAAATTATTTAAAAAAAAAAAAAAAAAAAAAAAATCAAAGCTACCTGAACAGTTAGTAAATCACGAGCAATGTTGGCCAAAATTGGAAATTATGATTTTTATCCAAAATTCTTGTACATGTAAATATACTCTTCTATATTGTAGTCTGAAAAGTCGAACACTCTAACAAATTGTGCCTCAAAACTTGAAGGAAAATAACTCTTGGAAATTTCCATTATAAAATATTTAGCTTATAGACATCAATCAACAAGTGGAAAGATTTGAGCAAACTTGAATAATCCATTTAGTTCATGTTGAATCTGTGTCAACCTGACAAGACAAAGACGCCTCCTCAATCTGCAATTGAGATGTAATGTGTAACCTCAAAATAACCAACATATTAAACACGACTAAATGTAAATTGTTTTCTCAAATTTTTCATGAAATGGTAAATTTGTTCAATGTATTTATTTATTTACCTTTCTTTTAGGACATCCGGTTTTGTTGTGGCCTACTTCCTTACAATAAGAACAAACCCTTTGCTTCTTTCTTTCTCCCTTCACCTTTGTGATTTTCTTATGTTGACTAGTCTTGTTGACTTTTTCATCAAGGTCAAGGTGTTGCACATGTATTTCGGTTGTACTTGAAGTAACATTAGAAGATGCTTCAAAACTACTACATGATTCTAATTCCCTATTGTTGTTTACTTCAGATACCAAACTAGATGCTGCAGATTCTAATTGTATACTCTTTTCTTGAAAACTCTCAATCTTTTCCTTCTTTCTTTCCACTTGTTCATCCACAAAACTCTCAAGAAACAGATTTAGTTTTCTCATTTCAGGAATTGAATCTCTTGCTTCTTTAATTGCCATGTTGAAATTAGTTTGAACAGACCTTAAAAGTGAACTAATTCCAGTTTCATCATTCTCTACTCTTCTTTCCACTAACATTGTTCCATTTTGGTTTGACTGGTTTACTTTGACTTTTCTATTTCTCTCTTCATGATTTTGAGATTCTAACTCATCATTATCAATTGAACTTTTCACCATGCAAATAAGTTCTTCCATGGGTGACTTATCAGTACCAATTTCTTTCTTATTTGTCGTTAAATCCTGCAATTTATTACCAAATAAAAAACACGTATGCCAAAGTCAAAGTCAAACCAACTTTTTTTTCTTGATGTGAATTTTTATACTAATATTTTTTTTAAAAAGTTGCATAATAGTAATACAATACCTTGTTTTTTGGATCAGAAGAAATGCCAACAACTTTCATATGCTTTGTAGATACTCCTTTGGATTTATCTTGCATAATACTGCTAAGTTTTGTAATCATTTTTGGACTTTTGGTGACCATTTCTTGTTGTAAATTAAAATTAAATGATAGTGGTGGTTGTTTTTTATCATGTTTTTTGTTCACAAAACGTTCATTTTCCAGACTAGAAGGGTTGACCTCAGTTTGACCAATTCCACACCCCAATGTATTCAAAATGATCTTCCCAAGAGCAAACCTGGTCTCTAGGGAATACCCTTTTTTAAGAAGATCAAAGTTTATCTCAAAAGAAGTTCTTCCCTCATTGTAGGCTTCCACTTTATGGGAAAGAACATGAAAAAGTTGTTGAGCACTATAACCCATGTTCTTGGATATAAATACCTAAAACAAAAAACAAAAATCAGAAAAATAAATAATTAACAAAAACATGAAACCAATTAGATTTAACAAGAGTCACATACAAAACCAGAGCATGGAGAAGGAGAAGGAGAACCAGGGAAATTTTCCATTGCATGGTTTAGGCAATTTGTTTCCATCAAAACATCAACAGAATCTACAACCATAATTGCTAATTGGTTTACTTTTGTGGCAATTTCATCATCAGAAATGAACTCATCATATGTGTCTAAAGATTCTGGATCAAAGTTGACCGGTGGTTGACCACATTTCCTTGCAAACTTAAGACCATCTTTCCAGCTTTGGTGATAGAGAACAGATGCAAAAGTCAAGATAACAAAAGGGTGTTGGGGGTTGTTTACTAGTGCCAGGTGGAATGCTAAAATTCCAATCCTGTTTCAAAATAAAAAAATAAAAAATGTTTATTTAAACAAAACTGTTTTTCATCTTTCATATGTACAAATTAAGAAACCACTCACCATAAGGGACTTCCAGAAGGCCGATCACAAGAAACCAACTTATCCAAATGAGACAACAGTTTCTGTAAATATATAAAAAAAAATACAGATGAAAGATTTATATTTTGTTGTTGCCAAAAAATAAAAAGATAGTGACTTGGCATACCATTAACATCATGGAACTTTGGTCAAACCTAGTTGCTTGTTGAGAAATGTATGCTGCCTGCAATTTTCAATAGCAAAAACCAGTAGTTTCCTTTTAGTTTTTATTATAAATAATAATAAATAATAATAATGCAGAAGCACTGGTTGATGACTCACCTGAAATGGTAGCAAAATCTCAAGAAGATGGTATTTATGAAGCAAGGAGAATGAAGATTCAGCAGCCCCAAATGATAGCATATAATTTATTTCCATCATTGTCCTGGACTGAATAAAGAAACATTAGACTAAAAAGGTAAATTTAAAACAATTATTTTACCAAATCAACACTCATGAAGTTCAAAATAGCACCTGCCCTAATCTTGTAATAGATGATGTTTGTTTAAAAATTGCACTCTTGATTTCCTTTGACAATGATAATCCCAAACGAGCAGCAATTCTTACACCTCGAAGTATTCTTGCTGAATGTAAGAACACAAGTAAGTTCTACTATAAGTTTAATAAAAAAATAAAGATTTATCATAGTTTCATATTTGACAAAATGTATGGTTTAAAGGGAAATACACCAACCAGAGTCCTCTGTGAATGACAGTTGGGCAGGTACTAATGTCCGTAGCTGAAATCAAATCACAAATAAATCTTACCAATTCAAACAAGATAATTAAACCATTTGCATCATATATTATAAATGCAAGATGATTATATTATATCTAACCTTTAGTTCCAATAGATCCTTCATTCCATCATTGTAATCATAGATTGTGTGAATAAAAGGGTCAAAGAACAAGCTGCTTCCACAATTTCATGATTAAAATTCAATTCATAGGAAAGATGGAGTGATTAATTGAAACATCAAAGCAGCAGAAAATACCTGTTAATGGTAAAGTCTCGATGCATTGAGTTCTTCCAACGAAGAAGATCCAGTTTATCACAGCCTCTAGGCATTTGGGAGATGAGAAACTTTTCTTTTCCTTCTGTCTCTTTGGCCAGAGTATCAAAACTAGAAACCTGGTAAAGAGCATATGATTACATAATGTGAATTGTGAGAAAAAAAAACGTAAAGGAACATGAAAAGATCGGTTAACAGGAATGCACCAACTTGCCTCAACAATGGAGCCTTTTATATACACCCTACATACAGGAAACCGTTTCCCCACAACTTCACAATTATGAAACTGCTTACTAATCTGAAATTATAGTATATACATACTTAGTGATTCGTGATAATAACATTAAAAGCTTGGAACCATGTAAAAATCACAATTCATGGTAGTTTAAAGAAAGCAAAACCTGTTCCAGATGAGCAGTAGTGATGACATCGAAATCTTTTGGTGTCCTGTTGAGAAGCAAATCTCTCACACATCCTCCAACTAAGTAGGCTTCAAACCCTGTAAAAAAATAGAGTAAATCTTTCATATACTACTGACGACAAGAAAGTAAGGCATATATAATGCATAAAATAAATGTGACCTCTGGTACGAAGAATCTGCAGGACAGCAAAAGGGGATGGGGGTATTGTTCGAGTTATCCCCAAGGACCTTGAATCCAACTTTTTCCATTTTGAAACGTTGATTTCACCTGCAGCATTATCCACTCATGAGCTATGAATCAGCAACGATATGTGATTAAAAACCTAAGTATAAGATAGAAATCTCGAACTCTACTAAATGAAGTTTCAAACTCATTCGTGGCACACCTGGTTTGAAGATCAAATAATCATCTTCCCTAAGTAGTCGAGGTTTAGAATCATCAAGTTCGACGAATTTATGGAACAACCCCTGCAGCAAAAAAATATATTAAAACTGCGGATAATGGGTTCGACGAAATATCCAGATGAATATGTTCGATAAACGAGGCGTAGATAATGAAGCGTACCTGTAACGAGAAAAGTGGTTTAATAGGCAACAGAAACACATTACGTCTAACGGTTATCGCCGCCATTAGAATGTAGAAAACATAGCAGTGACGACGGTTTAGCTCGCGGCTGGAGATGGACACTGGAGTAGATAAATTCGCGTTCTTCTGTCGATACCAAGCAGTGTTTTCTGCCAAAATGCGTCGTATGTAAAATCAAATACCTGCGATTCCTTTTGACGCCTATGATTACTATGAGCTTTATGGAGCAAATATGAGATGAACAATAACCCTAATATTTTCTGAAAAAACACACTTAAACCCTTCCTCTTTTGTCACATTTTGGACATGTAAAACAAATCACGTTAATAAGGTGATTAGAAATGCACCTGAGTGGAACAAATTAAGGGCTGTCCAGTTAATGATCAAAATGATTGTTGTTAAACCAAATAACCATCTTTTAAAAGTATAAAATTCATATTGCGTTGTATGAATTTTGCGAACTTAAAGTAAATTCGTGAAATGTTATTCAAATTGAAATTATATGATTATTTTACATATTTGATGTTACACCCTTGTTCCCAATGTCATTTAACGAGGGAAGTGGAGGAGGGAAACGGAGAAAAAAATAAGTCATCATGTTGCCGAGTTTTTTTTTTTTTTTTTTTTTTTGAATGATTTGAAAAAAAAAAATCAGAGGATAATATTCCTTTCAAATTGAAGAGATTTTGAGAAAAGAAAATCATTGATAAGGATAACAACACACATCTACCTATATAAAATCATGTATCATACACAGCACACACAAAAAAAAAATTCGGCCTTTGTTTCAGTTTCATTCTCTTCTCCCCTACATTTTTTTGTTGTTGGTATGATTCAACTTAATATGGAATCGTGTTTACAATATCTTTTTAGAATCTTTTTTTCTTTATGTTTCATTCTGTTTTGTTTCTTCTTCATTATTGTTGCTATAGTTGACTTGATTCATTAGGTTAACTGTGATTATATTTTTAGAACATCATTATATGAAAGTAAATCTAAATGTTAACTATTAACACTACAAACAAAAAAAAAAGATTCTTTCTAGAAACCAAAAAAACTTGAATTAGGGAATCTGATTTTTATAAGGAACTATTGACGTGTTCTATATGTAATCCATGGTTGTTTTGTCACTATTACAAAATCAATGAATCTGACTATTGTAAGCAACTAAATTATTAGAGTACTTTTAAATTCTTTAATATGTTCTTTTAAGTATCACATAAACCAGGTATGTGTCTCTCAAAGTTCTAGAAACCAAGAAACTTTGAATCAGAATAGTTAACAATTGTACCAACAATGATGCATATGTCACTAGTTCCTTCTCTTTCTAGATTTTGATAAGTTCAATCCTTCGTTTAGAAACCAAGAAACTTTAAATCAGAATAGTTAACAATTGTACCAACGATAATGCATCTGACACCAGTTCCTTCTCTTTCTAGATTTTGATAATTTCAATCTTTCGTTTCATTAGTTTCTCTAAACTCAATGACAATGTCCAGAAAGATATGAAGTGCACAAATGTTTGAGGCAAGTACACCTAACTACTTGTTTTCTCTCACTATGATATCTCTCTATTACCTTTTTGTGTATGTTCTATTATTTTACATCACTTGCAGCTTCTTTACTTTTTTATTGTCTTTGTTTTTTACAATTTGTCCTCATTTATTATTTGTATTCTCAAATAAGTTATAGCATCATTAATCCAAACAATACTATGTCTAGACAACACTAATAGAGAAAGACAAAAAAAAAAAAAAAAAAAAAAAAAAAAAAAAACAACCTTAGTTACTCTTTCTGATTTACACTAAGAACGGATACCAATCAGCAAAAATAAGCCAAAATATATTGGTGTTGTTTCCTGTTTTCAATCCTTCTTGTTGATGCTATTTGTTATTCCTTGTTGTTCCCGTTGAACTTTTTGGTCCTTGGCCCTATGTTGCTACCCATTGATATTTTAGTTGAATATTATATGTTGGTGGGTTTTAACTAAATATGTTTGTATGTGTGTAAACGAATGTGAAGCCACAAAATATGAAGATGACATGCAGATGGATATTTTTATCCAATTAAAATTATGTGTGTAATATGATTGCTAAAAATAAGGGTAAAATTGTAATGTTGTTGTTTTCCTTTCTTTTTTTTTCTTTTCCTTCCAACTCGGGAACATGTTTTTTTGATTTTCCTTTCATTTCCTTCGAACTCGGGAACACGAAAAAGTAAATCATTTCCTTCCCCTCCCTTTCTTTTCTCTCTATATTTTCCTTCCCTTTCTTTTCTTTATGTTAGTAAAACTCGGGAACTAGGTGTTAATGTTGTAGTTTATCTATATACAAAAGTGCATAAATGGTCATGTGGTTTGTCTAACACCCGTATCCTCAGCTATGTTTCTTAATATTTAAATTTTCCATTTGCGTAATATGAGTGACCTATGCCAAGCGTAGGATGGCCTCCTACGTTGGATGTAGGTGAAAGATGTTGGGTTTTGAGCACTATAACACTTCCTAAGTGCACATGCAACCCCAAATGCTTTGGATCTATGTTTTCTCTAATTATACATGCATTCACAATTTTTCCAAAGTATTCTCCTAACTAGCATACAAATTGTCAAATGAACAATACAATTAGTTAGATGACATACCTTTTAGAAGGACTTGTAGTTCTTGACCTTTGAAAGCTTGAGAACCTCAAGTGTGATGCCTCTAATGGTTCACAAACACCAATATGCAAGAGGATGATTTAAGAGAATAATCTATTTATCTCAAAGAGAAGAGGCTCAACCGATTTTGGCTATGGAGGGTTCTATTTATAGTGTTGGACATGCTAGGGTTACACTTGGTAAACCCTAATAACCCATGACTTCCCACATATCTCATGCTCCATAGGTTTAACCTCCATGGACTATCCATTGATTAGTTTAGCCCATAATCATGGATCATTAGCCCACACTACAAATATGATTGATTTACCTAATCAATCCCCCATATATTTAATTAGTCTCTTTTAACCACAAAATTAATAAATTAATTCTTGATCAATACTAATTAAATAATTCCATATTAATATGTTATACTCGTAATATATTAATAAACCATAAATAACCTTATTCTCAAAATTCATCCTATCAAATTGCATTGGTGAAGGCAACCCAAAAGGACCATGCTACAATCGGGTCAAATACATATCAGTTATAGTTATGGGCTTAGACACCAAATCCAACAATCTCCCGCTTGGATAAGTCTAATAACTATTACTGCTTATGCACTTCAGGATCCGACTTAGCAATCGTAAGCTTTCAAAAGCCTTTGTCGAAATCTGACCTAGTCAGTGACTCGTCCTTCAGATAAGTGATCATATAGTCCTCTGTTCTCAAGATATCAGCTGGACAAATACATGGAACAATGGCATACTTATATGTCCAACAGTTTGTTTCCCGATTTCTGATTCATCTGACATAGAACATAACTGAACACATCAATTTAGTTCTGACCGGGCCCGGCACATAAGTCAAAACAGAATCATCGAGGGGCCCAAGATATCGTTTTTAATCCTCTTAGGATAAAAGGGAACAGATAAACTTCGACTCATATGCTTGTACTAACTATTCATTGAATCATA